AAAAAAAAAAAAAAAAAAAAAAAAAAAATGCAGCAGAGCAGGAGATGCAACTATATTACAGAGCAGTAAAAATAACCCAAAGCTGCTTAGGTAGTTAATTTTAACACAGCAGACCGCTCCGTCACCGTGTATAAATCCAACATACCCTCTTACGGAAGATGAGGTTAATAAATATTGCTTAAATAACCCACAGCACTTGTGAGTTTCTGTTTCAACTGATCTATTATTCTCACTACAGAGCTTGTAAAATCTCCTCTCAAGCTTACTAAGGTTTGCCACTGGCAGTAATTATGAGTGACAGACAATAACACAACAAATCTCCCATGGTTTCCTAATACAATCACAATTCTTGTGAATTTTAATGGCACTTTTGTAATAATACCGCTAGATAATTTGTTTGTAACTCAGTCCACAGAACAGGAAAGTGAGGAAAACGCTAAGTAATGATGATTATTCAAGCTTTTTACTGCTTCTCCTCCTGCTCGTAACAGTCCTCGCATTGTTTGAGATGACGGAGGCTACAGTTAACGTCTTGCTGGTGAAAGGCTACGTATGAATCCGAACTGACCAAGCTCCTCTTTTACTGACCTGCAGATCCCGTGATCAGTAACAAAAGCTCCCAAAAACGCTTTTAAACCGGACAATTCTCGTAACAGAAACGCAGGTCTAAGAGTGTCATTTTCTCCCAAAAGTGAGGCCTCTTATCCACTTTTCAAAGACCTGGCGAGTCACTGGCTGAGGATCAGTAACTGTTCTCGTGACCTGCTAAAATATAGAGGTTGCTCAGGGCCGTGGGGTTGTCGGTCGGTCGACTCTCTAAGACCACCACCCTGCAACAGAAACACAGGAACAGCAGTTTGTAAGAAAAACATAATATCCTGTTTCTTTACACAACAGTCATTTAATGCAAGGAAGCCATTTTTCCCCACTCGCTTTGCTTTTACTGGAAATCCCTGCTGCTCTCTTGATTTTCCACTTCGATCACTTCCTCTCGTCTACACAGCTCTGACAACAACGTGTCTTCCCGGTAATTACTTTTCCAAAAACCCCTACAACACGATCCAGGTGTTTCAACTAAACCCTCATTCCCTCCTCATCTAAAATCCTGGAAGATTCTTCTTATCACTCGTTGTTTTCTCCACACATAATCTGATCAAAAAGGTCTAAAGCCCTGATTTACATTTGTTGGGAATCTATATAAAGCCTACAACGTAACCTACATAAGTGGTTGACGTTGCTAGCATTTATGCTGGTGCATTACGTGTTCGTTACCACGTGGTTGTGTCCTGGTGTTTTATATGTGGTGTCAGTCATGATAGAAATAAAATGCAGGGACTTTTTCATATTCATGTTTGTTCCTGAAGTTCTACATTCCTTGACTTCCTGATGTCGTTTCAGGAATTTGCTGACATTTGTGAGTCCTTACTTTAATGCTATGATTATTATTTCTCATATTAAGGGGGTGACCGTTATTCTGTCACTAATAAATCAAAAACTGTGGCGAAACAGCACAGGAGGAATTGATTGTGCTGATCAGGCAAATCACAATTACATTGACCTGAGATGGACATGAGATTATGCCGTAAGATTTCAGAAGGGTTATAGTGTAGCTAGACGTAGATTCCCCAGTGAAGCATTAATCTTATGTTACTGTATTGTTTTTTTAAATTGATAAAAATGGGTAAAATTGATGTTTTTAGTGATGAAAATTATGCATATTTTATGTGTAACACTCAAAGATCAGTTTGAAAAATGCAGAGAAACAACGAGAAGACAGCTGGTCGACTTCGTTCACCCACAGCTTTGATCAGATTATTGACAGTCTGATAAAAAAAAAAAAAAGAAAAGAAAAAAGGCTGAACTGCACTGAAACTGACATTAGCGACGTGTTGCATAATGTTCGTGGTTTCAGTGTGCAGAGTCATGCATGTTAAGTAATCAACAGTCAGATGACGGCCAGATCAGGAGGGCAGTGGGTGCATCTTCAGATGCCATCGGCCTTGTGGCGGTGACAGCTGAGCGGAGAAGCTGCAGTCTATACTGCCCGTTCCATCAGATGAAATTACAGAGGCGCGGAGAGACACTCAAACCAGGCTGGCAGTGCCCAGGCGGCGGTGAATAAAACATGGCGGGCTGGGCAGCAGAGAGTGGCCTCGCTCTGGTGCCACAAGTCGGGGCGGCTCCATCAGGAGTCACCGCTCAACGAGAGGTGCTGCTGGGAGATCGTCCTCCAGTTTGAGCATGCTCTGTTTGACTGAGTCTAAAAATCACATCCTGCTTCATCTGCAGCTGAGAGCAGTCACCACAGAGAGCGCAATCGTAATTTACTACAGTGTTACCTAAAAGTAAATCAATAAGACGATTTGATGAGGGACAACCAAAGTAACACACTTGAAAGTAAATGTCTGAGTGCAGTGACAGATGAGAATTGTCTGCTCAAAACGTTATGGGTGAGGAGGTTGTTTGGTGGTTCTCAGGTAATGGAAAAACACACCTGAGGGATAACGGTCATAAACTAGCGGGACAGGTTTCATGGGAATTATGGGATGAATAAATAGCTATACCAAAAAATAATACCAAAAAACAAACAAAACAATTAATAATAGAACAGATGCTTAAAAGAGGAGGGAATGTAGGCTGTGGCTGTACTTCCTCTACTGATGACATATCTGAAGTGTAAGGATCTGTACCAACCTGTCAGATCCAAGGAGGCGGAAGACTCTGCTTGGATCAGAAATCTCCTGGGTTACCTTCAAAAGAAACACACACACACACACGCACACACACACACGCACACACACACGCACACACACTTTCATGTGACAACTGGCTGTATATCAGAAGTACTGCTGGCAGTGAAGGTACACTGTAACGCAAGAATAACAAAATATAAGGCTTTTTAAACTGCATGGGGACATGCACGAAAGGCTCTGTGGTGTTACATCACACCTCTCTCATTTCACTATCATCTATTAAAAGATCTGCAGAATTCCCAAATTACTCCATCTCCTGTGTTTAAATTTTGAATTCACAGACTTCCCCTTTTATAACAGACTATCTAATGTTTTTAACAAGCCCCCAGTGCCATCTCTGCTGTGTACCTATGAGCCTGGAGCTTACTGTTACCTCTACTCACAATATGTAGCCTGACACCATGCAGGGTAAAGGACAGGGGCCCCTTCAAAACACTCATATGCTGGCATGTCATGAAAACTTGTTGACAGATGTGAGACAGTGAGTGGCTGACACCTGCTAGGTGTAAGACCTTGGCCCTGGGAGAGATCTGATCTGTTTAAGTCTAAACGAGAACAAGGTCTCGGGTGTTCACAGATGCACCCACCGAGGAAAGCACGGATCACCAGACGCGCCCCCCCCTCTGAATGCCTTCGCTTTTCACAGGAATCATAACAAGACAAAGGCTGAATTATTTAGCAGCTTCTCCCTGTTGTGTGACGGGTTTCGCTTATGATTGAGTATGAATTTTGCATGACTGCTGACATTTCGAAAATCCTTGCTATGGTCGATCTGTCAAGCTGGGCCGGGCACGGACTCGGGGCACAGACCTTCTGTTTCATTCGAGTGCTGCTGGACCATGTCTCACACAGCCAGCTTTCAAAAGGGCAGCCCCTAAGGCCATATCAATTTTCATTTAAGCAGAATGCTTCACCTCTCTGCGATCTCTTGAACTTTTATTGTACCGCTGAGCGCATCTCGTGATCAGGTTAGCTTGGAATCCCTCCGTGGAAAGGTGGACAAATTCATTACCACGCTCTAACACAAAGACACGCTGTCTGCTCTACCTGAGGGCTAATCTCCTGGGATCACCTACAGCTTGCAGCCACACACATAAACAGACACTACGGGTCTTTGTTGACAGGAGAGAGAGGTGTTTGTTCATGTGTACAGCACACAAGCCTGTGTCAAGGATGTTAACACATACTGCATTCACAGTTTCCACCCTGGCACCTATTGAGGAACCATGAAAATGATGGTGAAATTTTAAATATCACGGTTCTTGTTAAGAGCACAAGAAAAAGAAAAAGAAAAAAGAGCAGGTTTTATTTTTCTCCCCAGGGTGATTAAAATGACTGTATTTTACCTCATTGGACTTGAAGCTCTTTCCTTGCATGCCATGTTTCCAAAAGGCCAGAACGCTGTCCTGAAGGCACACTGTTACAATACAGAGGAAACTGTGTGTTAGTGCACAAACAGGTCAAACATTACCCAAGACTAATCAATTTAATGCTA